ATGATATTTATTTTTGAACCCCTGTTTAAAAAATCTATAAGTACAGCAATTCCATTCAGGTTAGACTAGTCAGAGAAAGCTATACTTTATAATGAAAAGCCCAGACAGTTGAAAGACTCCCTAAAAAGTAATTTATGCGAAAAATGGACCAAAGTCTGCAGGATTAGATCTCACCTTTTGCATTAGTCAGCTGAATGTACTGCAGCATTTTACATGAAGCACAACAGGTTGACTCTATATTTTTATGAACAAGCAATAGAAATGTATAGGCCTATCTCTTCACATGCTCAAAGAATTTCCAAGGTTTTGTGGCTCAAGGAAGTCACAATACCTTGATACCATATCAAAAACCTCAGTCATAAATATCTTTCCACGTGTTAAGAGTATAAAACTTCTCCAAAACTGGATTCTTTTACACCTGCTGATTGGGACGCAGCAGAAACAGCTCTGTAGGCGTTTTTCTTGATGCTCAGGATTCTGTCTTCTGCGTTGGGGATAAAACAACCGACCCAGATGGTCTCCGGTGGGTGTTTGCTGAAGACGGAGCGCATGAGGCGCTCCAGGAGCTGCGCGCATCGCAGCGTCTCTGCGCTCTCCTGCGCGCTGCGTATTAATCCAATCAGCACGGGCCGGCTAACCGAGCCGCGCTTCGTGCGCGCCTTCACGTCCTTCAGGATCTCCAGCAGACACGGCTCGTTTGAGGTTTTGCTGACGAACGTCTGCCTGAAGATGAAAACTATGAGCGGGGAGTCTATGGCGCGCTTGGAGCTGTAAACATTGGCCCTCCTGGATGCGGTTCTCTGGGGTTTATTCTGCGGCCGCGTCTCCTTCTCTCTGTCCTCTTCCAAATCCTTGCTTTTCACTGTTAAAGGGATATCATTGCTTTTCCCCGCGTCGACCTCACTCTCTGCATCGCCATGGCGACCACATGGCACGGTGCATGGAAGCTGTCCGTCACTGAGCGCAGGGTTGCTGTTATAAAACATGTCACCTATGAACTCCTGTAAAATCCCAACGTCATCTCCGTCCACCTCCTTACTTCCACTGGAATCGCTGATCAGATAAATCCTCTCCTTTCCTCCGATCTGAGCTACAGCCTTTTGAAACTCCATCTCCTCCTCTGGCAGAGACTCCGAACTGGACATTTTTATGCAGCTGAGCTAATTATTTTTTATTTTTTTTATTGCCGTAATCCTTAATTAAAAGAAGCCATTTGATTCACGGTGAACCCGCTGCTCCGGCCGACAGGAGAAACTTCCTCTACGGTCACAGAGAACACCAATGAGGAAGATGAGGGTGAAGGCTCACTGCGCGTTTCTATTGGTTACTGCAGCCCGTGGGCGGGGCTTATGACTGAAGGCGATTAAGTTAATCTTTAACGAAAGCCCAAATACAAGTAATTGAAAGTTAAATTTACATAAAATAATTTAAAGGCTGAAATTTATACCTTTTATTCACAAGAGTCAAACAAAAGTTATTTTATTTCCTCCACTCTACTGAAAAGGTGCAGCTCTTATAACATAGATATGTTCCACAAGGTGGTCTGCATGTTTTTCTCCATTTACCATTTATGGTTTATTACATGAAAACCTCATATTCAGCTTATTGGAACATTATAATATTAGTTGCTATATCGTGGAGTTTATCAGGCTGATGCATAAAGTTCTACTTCTACTTCTGGACAGATAGCTGCTGTGATTTTGGAGTTGATAAAACATGGTGGACCAACTCCAACATACGAATCGGCTCGAAATTGTCACTGAATTTTTGTCCTCTCCAATCTCTCTCAACACCCTTTGACATCAACCTTCTTCTATCTGAAAAGTAAGCTTTGAAACATGAAGCAAGGGTAGGATCCTTCTGACACTTTCTTCAGTTCAGGAGTGGCTTGGCATTAAATAATTGAGCATCATACGAGGGGAGTTCAATAAGTCTTGCCTCTAACCCACTTCCAGATGTTTGAATCTGTTAATTCAATCTCTAACATTATGCCCTTTCTGTTTATCTTTAGAGTAGCTTTGCCTCGTCTGTTCCTGTTTGGCTGTGACTCCATCCTGGAGAGAAACATCAGCTGTGCTGCTTCCATCAACACCTTTGTTTATAGATGTTGGAGATCGGCCTGTTTTCCAGTGTGGTCCTGTTTCTCTGACCGTGACTAGCTCAATGTGCTCTCTTCGTCCTCTGGCATGGGAGCTGGCTCGGAGCTCGTCTGCCTGGCTGTGTGTTTCCTGGACGGGGTCGCCTTTTGCAGCTGTTTTTTGTATCTCTGCTTCTGTCTCCTTTAATCCCAGTCGGCCTCGGCAGATGGACGCTCACACTGAGCCTGGTTCTGCTGGAGGTTTCTTCCTGTTAAAAGGGAGTTTTTCCTCCACTGTCGCTACAAGCATGCTTAGTGTGGGGGATTGTATTTGAGTGAATGAGTCGATGCAATCAACTGGTTTTCCTTAGATAGAAAACTTTGAATCAATTTGACTGTATGATCTGATTGAACTGTAAAGTGCCTTGAGATGACATGTGTTGTGAATTTGGCGCTATATAAATAAACTGAATTGAATTGATCGAGGGGAAATTTGCATGTGACGTTATTCAAATCTCTATAGATTAAATAGCAAATTAGAGCTCTGAACTATTTTTGGTTTCTGACTTACAGATGTTTGAACCGAGTAAAGTCTGAAATGGAGCCTGTTGAGTGTTGAGCAGTGATCTGGTTTTTCTATTGGAAAAACTCACACCAGAGACTTTTGATGAAATTAAAGTAACTTATGGTGATGATGCCCGTTATATGACCTTGCAAAATGTTTCACAAGGTTATATTATGGGACATTATCACTAAAAGTTACTTTAATTAGATCAAAAGTCTCCCATTGTGTGCGTCCTTTCAAATGCAAAAACTCACTTGACTTAGTTTTAACACCAGTAAATCAGAAACCACAATTAGTTCTGAGCTGTAATTTGCTATTTAATCAATAGACATTTAAAATACTTCACATGCAAAATTTCAGCTCAATTAAACATCTGGGAGTGGGCCAGGGGCATTACTGAAGGAACACCCCTTGTAGGCCCTATCTTGGATTTATCTATGTTTTGTGACTGTTGAAGCTCAGGTGCAAGCTGCAGTCCACACTTTTAGATCTCCAACTTCTTGAATGAATGCATGTAGCATTGTAATCTTCTCAAGGCTACAGTTATTTTTAAGTTTTGCATTTTTTTCCTTTGAACATTTTCCTTCCATTCAACATTCCAATAAAATTCTTACATACAGCATTCTGTGATCCCGGTCATGAGATCTGGGTAATGACCGAAAGGACAAGATCGGAGTAGAGTCGCTGCTCCTCCACGTCGAAAGGAGCCAGTTGAGGTGGCCCCGGCAGCTGTTCCAGATGCCTCCTGGTCACCTCCCTCAGGAGGTGTTTCAAGCTTGTCCTGTTGAGAGGAGGCCTCTTGGAAGACCAAGGACACGCTGGAGGGACTACTGTATGTCTCTGAGCTAGCCTGATGTCGCCTTGGGGTTCCGCCAGAGCAGCTGGAGGAGGTGTGTGTGGATCAGGAAGTGAGGGCATCTCTTAAACTGCTGCCTCCGCGACCCGGTTGCTTTGGTAACAAGCTCTTGTAGCTTACCCTTCAATAGTAGGGTCTAGCAACTGTCTGTAAGACATCATGCATGTCTTACATGCATATAACATTTCTGTATTAAAACTGCTATTTTGGACTTGAAATAAAATTGTATATCTCCCTGAGATATCCCTCTGCCTATAATACATCCTTGTCAGTTTCACTGTTTGAAAAAAAGAGCTGTAACTAAGACACATCTGTAAATTTAAAGTTTTACAACAACCAGTTTTCATCGCACTTTGTACATTTCCAAGGATAATATTGAAGAACTTAACAGAAAACATCCTAAAATATTATATTTGAGGATTGCGAGCACCCTTTAAAAAATATGGCCACATTTCTATAATAAAAGTTCATAGCTAAAAAAAAAAAGTTATTTGAGCCAAAAAAATAAATAAATACTACAGTGTTTCACAGCAGAATCTTTGAATGAAGCTCAAATTTAATCCATTTATTAATTCAATGCACTTTACAGAGTCAATTCAATCAATTATACAGATTGGTTAAAAGTTTTGTATCCAAGGAAAAACAAATTGCATGGAGCAAGGAACACATTGTTACAGGAAAAAACATTAAGCATGACCAGACTCTATAAGAACAGCTCTATGCTACCACCGACTGGGAGCAGACACACAAGAAGGTGAACAGCACCATGATGCAGGGTGTACTTTCTAAATGGGAAAAGAATAAATAATAAAACCAAGTAAACAAGTTTAATCTGGACTAAATAGGCAAATAAAGCATAGGAATAACACCCATAAGAACGTCCTCCAATACTACAATGTTATATAAATGTAAGAATGTTTTTTTTTTATTTAATAGTAACTATAGACAAAATCTTCTCCATTCTTCTAAGAGCAGCCAGAGTACCGTTTGAGGACCATGTGTTTAAGAAGAATTAAAAATAGAATAAAAAAAGCTAAGAATCAACCTATGTTCTCATGGATTTCTGGGATATTCTTTTATCTTGGGGGACGGGTCGGTGGTGGATGATGAAATGTTTCGCCACTCATTTCTTTTAGTCCAACAACTCTCGTGAACAATCCTGACTTTTGTCCCGTGTCAAAGATATCAGAGCTCTCAAAAGAAAAAGAAAAAAACACACAAACATGACAGTCTCTGTGAGCACACAATGCAGGGACTTTAACCTGCTTTTTGTTAAAACATCCGGTAATGTTTCACTTTCCTTTGAGATCAAAAGGCTGTTCAACCTGAAAGCTTGCATAGTTCTCCATTTTCTAATCCTTTAATCCACTCATGCCAGGTCTGTGATTAAATGGTCATGTCAGTCTAATGCATGGTGAGTTTTTTATGTTGAAAACTAGATAGAGATCCAGAGTTCACATGTCAGCCTGTTTCGTAATTGTTTACTAATGAACAAATGATAAACTGTAGAGTTTGACTTGAACTAATACAAAGGTGCTGTTCTTTGGCCTTTGGACCAGTCAAACATTGACTGGTTGGGTGCTGCCAGGATTGATTCAGTGTTCTCTCTAAAATCTTACTGCAATCATTTTATTATACTAAAAAGACCAGATTTCTCTGGTTTTGCCCTTTGGTTACACTTCAGCGTTCTAGAACATCGAGCAAATCTTAATATTGTGCACATGTCACCATAGTAAATATAAAATATGTTTTTTTTTTTTAAATAGAAATGTTTAATCATAAGGGAGAAAACTTTCTAAAACGACCTGGCACCATGTTAAAAAAGCAATTGTTGGTTACTAAGAGTCTGTTTTTCAGCTCATAGTGGAAAACAAGTGTTGGAGATAACTGGCAATGAGTCTTTTAATTTTAATCTGGAGGAATTGTTACTCCTTCTTCACAGAAATTTTTTCATTCCGGTTTTTTTTCTTTTGGTTTTGGTTTTTTTGAATTTAAAGTCATAGATTGATGAATGAAAGATTTTTTGCTGAAAAGCAAGATTACTAGTTCCATTAACTATAATAAATGCTCCATATCCTGAAGCAGCACCACAGCCCCAGATCATACTACCACCACCGTATTGGACAGTGTGTTTTCTTCAGTGTTGCACTGTTGTACATTCAGTTCACAGAACAGATAACTAAAATTGCTGGGCATCATAAAGATGTTGGACAAAAGTAAGGTTTGTCCCTGCACTCTTCAGATGAGCATTCCCATTGGGATTCTCCAATGGGTTGTTTTTGTTGAGTCATTTAGGCCATCATTAACCTTGCCAAGTCCTGATGCAAGCCAGAGACCTCGGCTGAATCCTCAGGTCAGAGCTCTACTGAACGCCACAGACGCCGAGTTCAGGTAAAGTGGGGCATCAGCACTCCAAGGGGCAAGAAAACGACTGACTGCAGGCATTGCGGGGGTGCCAAAGTCACATATGTTCAGACAATTCAGGCTCATTTCACTACCAATGACTTGCAGCTCATGTGGAAAGGCATAAAATGCATAACGGGCTACAACATTAGAGATGCAGAATACCATAGCGAGTCATTACCAGATCCCTTCAACATGTTCTATGCCCACTTTGAGGATTCCAACACTCCCATTACCACCAGACTCATATCCCAACCTGTTGACACCCTGTGTGTGACCACAGCAGACATGTTGTTTGTTAGTTAGTGTTAGTTTCAGAAACAGTTTCTATCCTACAGCTGTAAATACAGCTGAACTGAAGCCACATCTGA